GACGGAGAATCTGAAGTGTCAAATCATGTCTAGTGACAGCACATCTCTGCCAGTATCAAATGCCATGATATTCACGCCTGCATGTTGTTAGGAAACATCTCACCTGCAAGTCATGCCGGTTTTGACCCGGAAGATGGACGACCAGGTGTGAGAGTTCTGCGATACTATGCAACTGTGCGGGAATCATTTCCATTCATTTCCGACGATCCAAACTCTCTGACGGAGGTAGATCACGTTGCTGCTATGGCAATGTCTGCCTTCGTGTCCTTTGGCGAGGAGAGTCTTAGAAGATTGAGTAAAATTTAGAAGCTCCTGCAATACTGCGAAATCTGCGAATTGCTCGTGTGTTGGCTTTCTCTGGTTTTCCAGGCAATTCATGGTAATTCACTGTGCATACTTTTCAGCAGTGTAGCACTTTGGAGGTACCAAGCGAGGCTCTCAAAAGTTGTTTAGCCGATAGTCGACTCAACCAGGTACAACATATTATTGTAGTTCAGAATCTTAGAACCTAAATGAGCAAGATATTTCAGTGCATGCGGCTGCCTTGTGATTTGAACAACTTCAGGAGCTGGACAACTCATTGATGGCTGGGTGCGCACTTGGAGCTGCAAGATGTTCCAAGTTGGATCGAATGAATCATTTGTCAAATTCGAGATCAATGCCAGCTGACAGGCAGCGGATAAGGTAGGCCAGAGGCAGCCCACGCAGCAAAGGAAATGTATCGATAGACTACGTATAGACATGAGGTGTACGCGAGAAGGCGTTGCCAACCGCACTAGCGTAGGCAGAAGTAGTTCCCACAACTTGAGTTGACACGGTAAGGGCCACACATGTCCAGTGAGTTGTGACCTCAGCTTGTAGCTTCATGACTCCTGGAGGGGAAAACAACGACATGAAACGGACAAATGCCGCGCAAGCCAACCACCCTAGCAGACGACTCTCATGAGATGCAGGAAGAGCAACCATTCTACTCTTGTCAGGCTCAGAATGATGAGTCCAGACTTGTTGCATTCTCGTCATTCCCACAGGTTCGTCTGACACATGATGGAGCTCATGAACGTTTGTACAGCTGACGTTGTCACCAAGCTGGATTCTAGATCGTGCAATGGCATATCCGGTGCAGTGGCGGCCGGCTGGTGCTGCTCAGGAGCGGGGACAGGAGTAGGACCTCCATCATCTCCATCATCTTTGAAACTTGTTCAACCATGTTCAACCAACCCAGTCAAGTTCTGGGAATCTTTGTCTCACCTGCCAGGCGTTCCTAAATCCAAGACCGCACGCTGCGCACGCTGCGCACGCTGCGCACTCTGCGCATGTTCATGTTCCACATCCGCATCCGGGGCATCCAGGCCATCCTCATTTGGGTCAGACTATGCCCGGCACCATGCCTGGGCAAACCATACCTGGGCAGATGCCGGGCCTGGCTCAACGACCATCAAGGCCTGTTCCACAACCTGCACCGCAGCCTGCGCCGCATCCTGCTGCATTCCAAACGCAGCCATCGCAGCATCATCCGCCACAGTTGGTGCCGCAGCCTGCGCCACAACTCGCTCCAGCATCTGGGGGTGTGGCACCAAGGACTCAGAGTGTGCACTGCAATCTTATAATTCTTGTGTAATTTGGACACTCGAACAAAGACAGTTGTGGAAGTTACAGATGTTTGTGTCCTGGAAAGTCTCTCTTCGGAAAATCTGCAGGACTTTAGCATCTTTGGACCCTGCCACAGCATCTCGGAATCCTTGTCATGGTATCAGTGCAGCCGTTCGAATGCCGCTGGTGCCGCAGCAAGGAGTACCGCAACTTGGCGATGAAAGATAACAAGCATTCTTGAACTGTCCAACTAGTTTTTGCAATGTAGCATGTCACACCCAAACACGGCAATGACAAGTGGTCCCTTTCGCTTTCAACTGTGAGATTCCGCGAACTTCAGTTTCTAGACAGCTGGAGATTCCGGCTGGGCCTGCGCCCTCTGAAGGCCACCAATCTTGGCTTCGCAGGTGTCGAGGCTGGGCACATCCACACAGCTTGGGGCACTTGAAATTGCGTGAAATATCAATGATTCACTTGATTCACTGTGATTTACTTGAAATCCTTGCAGGCCAGTGGCAGTGCAAATGGCAAAGCTGCCCAGCCAGGTGCCTTTGCAGATGTTGCCTTCAAGCATTGCCAGATTCTCATGCTCTTTGCATCTCTTTTTGTGGGATGCTTGAAGCATTTGAAGCAAATAGTTTTGTTTCTCAGTCAAAACAGCATTCCCATCCTGGAGGCCAAGCTAGATACGCCTCTTGGCTTAAAGTGGATGGAGAAGTTTTTAGACGTGACAGACCTTGGAGTCACCTGCAACCTGGCAACAATGCAGACTTGAGAGAGTACCCATCAGAGAAGTTTCAAAGCTGGAACCGCATCATGCGACGTCAAAGTTGTTGGAAACTTCTTGCTCCGTTTACAAGTTTGAAAAATACGTGCTTACTTCAATTTGGCAAAAAAATGTCATTGCGCCGGCATGAGCTTCGGGCTACTGTACAAGTTGGTTTGCATTGCGTGCAAGGCTGACTAGCACGACTCGAACACGAGTGCTGCAGGAATCACGGGACACAGCGCCGTCAAGAGGGAAGCTGTTTGTGAAATCGTGTAATTAAAGTTGCTTATGTTACATTACTGTTACATCGATTGTCTTGAAGATTTGGACTTGGACATTGCAAGAAGAAGAGTGCTGTATCAAGGATAGTGTCGGAAACAATGTGGCTTTTGTGGTGTGAAGTCGCCATCAAACTGACAATGCTGTAGACTCCACATCAGAACCGCCCACTCTGGGTGCAGGATGCGATTTTGTGTTTAGATACGTTTCCTGGCAATCTGTAATCTCAAATCTTCAGTCCACGAGACGAACAGAATATATATATTATATATATACACACACATGTTCAGAGTCCCTTATTAGCACAGATACTTTGATTGGTCGGAATTGTATTATGTGTTTCGCAGAAACACATCTCAGATGGTACCCCACCCAACACGCACTATGACCACAAAAGGACTCGCAATTTACGGGGCTCCGAGTCTTTACTGAAAAGATTGCCCCCTATATCTACAGTAACGTTGAATACACGCTTTTACCTTTTTCCATCTTTTCTGATATAACTTCTCCGCAACAATTTGGTACTTTGTTCAGGATGTTTCGCAGCTTTCTGCCCTCTCTATAGAACAGCAACTTGAAAGCATTTCGTGATCTGCAGCGGCATTCAATCCGCTTGATTTGATTGCCTCCGAAGTATCTTTGCAAAACACAATGCTTTCTGAGAGAAACAACTCGTGTACAGTACTGTGCCAAGACAAGGCTCGTGCAACTTTGCCATTCATTGCATCGGCAGTGCGAAGCCAACAAGTGCCTTGGCTATGAACTCTTATGAACTCTGGCAAGGTAGCTGGTCGTTCTCCGGTTCAAACCGTTCAAACCACGATTTTTTCAATTTCCAATCTGACTTGCTGCCAGTGTGAGTTTATCTCATTTACATTCATTTACTGGCTTGGGCTGAGCCTTGGAGGCAGATACTTGCAGAGCACGTGAAGGAGCAAGGCTCACTTGTTCAAATGTGTTGGTCAATGATCCGCCCAGGAATGATCTTCACAATCAGAATCAAGCTCGTCATTTGTTGGAGACCCCAACGAAAAAGTGCATCCCTCATCGATTGTGATACAGTCTTGACAATTTTGTGCCAGGCAAACTCTTGAAGGAGCGAGAGGTCCTTCGCAGCCGGAAAGCAGATCTGGAAAGAACGTTAGAAGGCACGGAGGGTTGCGTGCCATGCAAGGTACAAGAGAAAGTACAACGTTGATCTCCTTAGATTCATGATCAAAATGGTACGAGAAATGAGTGTTGCATGTGTTGGGCACGCATCATTCTGTACTGTGGCAAGGTCCAGATACCCTTTCGTCTTCTGCAGCCCGGCTCCCTGAAATATCTGTCCAGACACCCGTCCTTGTTTCAGCTGGGTGTGCCCCACAAGCTTTCCCTTTGACAGCACCAGATCGAGTGGCGCAAGAAGCTGCAGAGGAAGCCGCAAAGCAAGCTGCAAGTGCAGAGAACACGCTGGCACAGACCCAGGGAGCTGAGGGGGCTGAAACGGCCGTTGGCACTGCACCAGTGGAGCAAAGCCTGCCAGGTGATCAGCTTGGGGTTCCGAAAGCAGGTAGCGAGCAGATGCCAGTGACTGAAGTGAGCTCAGAGAAGGTTGAAAACGTGACCTTGGCCAGTCCTGCTCCATTCTCCACAACAGGGAATCCAGAAACCGCCTGTTCACCAGATGGAAGCAAAGCAGCCATTGGGACTACAACTTCTCAGGCAGTGCCGGAAGAGATTTCATTGGCAAGCCCCATTCGACCAGCCCTACAGACTTTGCAGAATTTGGCTGTCTCCCTGGGCAGTCCAAAGCTGGAGAATGCGGTACCTGAGATCGTGACACTGGCAAGCCCCATGCAAGAAGCATACCATGGGTACAGCGCTTACAATCTCGGAGTAAAGTCGCCTGCTCCGGCTGAAGTGCCATTGCAACCCGATGTTGCTTCTGGACGACCTCTCATGAGTCCAGGGTCACCACTAGTGGCAAAGGTTTCTCGCTAATTTTGAGCAAAGCTTTCAGCCTATTTTGGGCTTGTACTTAAAGAGGTTATAGGGAGCACGCCAAGTACCCAAAACTTTGCCCTTTTGTTCGGCATCTTCCAATGCATTTCCTGAGATACCTTACATCTCCTGCTTTAGTGCTAAATGTGAATCTCCCGTCCGCGTTTTTCCTGTTTGCACGCACGTCCTGTGATTTTTTGTATTTAACCTATAACACATCTAAACATGTTGCAACGTGGGCATGAATCTCCAAGCAACTTGGCCTGTCCAAGGTTACCGACACGACTTCTCCCGAGACTCTGTCGGCCACCACACTTGTGGCTGGTACACCTCCAGATGCCAGGAAGGTTCGCTGGACAGCTTCAGATGTCATTTAGATGCCATTTAGGATTTAGGATGATGTTCATTTGCACCGTAGATTTACTTTGAATCAGCTTCGAGGTAAACGGTGTCCCATGCAGTGGTGATGCAGCAGCAGGTGTAGGTGCAGCGAAAGGGAAACGGGATCCAGGGACGCCTCTAAGGAACAAAGGTCGACATAAGGCATGAAAAGGGATCAATTGCTTATACACTATTATACGCTGATATGATACTTGCATCCCAAGTCAAAACTGAGCAGTGACCAAAATCCTTGTTGATTAGTTATTGGGGTTCACACTACCTGGTTTATTGGATGTGACTATGACCAATTATGATTCGAAACCTGTATCAACCAGCGAGTATAATTGGATTACAGAGAGTTTTGAACACTGCGAAGTATTTTGCAATCACTGCAGTACAGATCTGACTGCAAATCCTGGTGACACTCTAAGCAACAATTTTCAGGTGCCAAGTCCGAGCAGGATCCGCAGGATCCGCAGGATCCCATCAAGGCCTGTAATTTCATCGTGCGCCTTCGACGCCTTGAATTTGTAGCGCTCACGAGCAATGAGAACCTGTCGAGTTTGTGGAGTCTTTGTGGAGTCTTTGTGGAGTCTTTGTGTCCATAAACACACCTTGACTGCCGTTACTTGTTTTGAGCATTTCGTGCTAGGTGCCTTCGCCCTCCTACGGCAGCCTTGATGGAAGCAGTGCTGGTTTCCTCAGATCTTTGCAAATTGCCTTCACTTCAGTCCTACGTGCATGGTGACGTCAGATCTTTGCTCACTATGTTTCTGTTCAGGTGCTGCCAGATTGTGAGACGATGGGACAAGAGAAATTGCTCGAGGCAATGACAGACCCCTGGCACAGTAGTCAAGAAAACATTAGAGCTGGATAGGCTTTCATGGACCTAGATAAAGTAAATGTGAGCATGCAAATCTTATATTTTTACATTATGTATGCAGACATATCCACATGTACACGATGCAGAGTATATTTGTTCAATACCGATACTAGCACATATATTTGTATATGTAGGTGTATATATATATATAATGTTTGTGTGCGTAGGAAACACATTTCTTTCATAGGGCTACGCTACTTCCTTCACATGTTGTGAGAGTCGCAAGATTTGCTTGTGATTCTCACTGTTGGTATGTCTCTGAAGGCCAAGCAGCTTGCCCTGAGCACGCCAGAAGAATTGATGGCTCGGGTTGAAGATGCCAGCATCAGACTCACCTGGTTTTTTGACGAGGACATCACCAATGCATTGTGGCAGAAGAACATGAAGTATCTTGAAGTACTATGAACTGCTGGTGGGATGATGTAGGGCAGTGAGAGAATATCAATCGGGGCAGGGAGACCATCTCGCTGTTGATGTTCTTCGGGTGTGTCACCAGGAGATGCTGGAGCAGCTTGCCTCTGGACCAGCAGAGCTGTCCTTTCAAATCCGCCAGCAATCGGAGGGCGTTGGAGGCCGGGTTCTGTAAGGAAAGAGTCGCTCGGTTGGACTTGCGGACTGTCGCTGTTGGGGTCCATTGTCGCGACACTTGCTAGAGCATAATCGACGCAGTAGAGGAAATTTTAGAGCAAAGTCTCTTGATTATTGATTCAAATGAATTCGTAGGTTTCCATATGTTTCCACATGTGTTTCCCATCTGCTGATTTGGTCTTATGTTAGGCCGCTTGCGGATAAGGGAGCACTCCTGTGCGGCCGTTTACGCAGCAAAGGATGGTGCAGTGCAGGCCAGGTGAAGATTGAAGTCAAACAGTTGCTCCATCATTTTCCATCACTTGACGTGTGGGGGGTCTCGTAGCCTCTGTGCTCCTGTGACAGGAGCAGAGCTTCTTGGTTGAGGGCTGTGCTCCTGGACGACCATACACGTTTAGCATTTGCTGTCGCTTGCAGTGGGGACACCAAGATTTGATGCAAAACGCATCAAAGGGCAATATTGTATGTAGGGAATGGGGGTGAGCTTGGCCTAGAAGATGCCAAAGAGAATCGAACCAGAATGCAAAAGAGTTTGACAGGAGAAGGTCCATTCAAACCACGAGAGTTTTCAAACCAAGTGTGAGGCATGGGAAGCAAAAGAATGAAAGATTCTTCCAAAAAGTTCCAAAAAGCAAAGGGGGATCAAACCGTGAATGTTGCTTTCACAGGTTGCCTGGTGCAGAGCAGCAGGTGTCTGAGTTTTGCGAAGCGGTCACTGCCTGCGTGCCAGGCAGGGTTGGAACTACCTGCGTTCTCGTGCACGCTGCGCACGCTCATTCATCATTCTTTGCTTCTCCGAGCCCTCAAACCCCTGCCCACTTGATTCCCACTTGGTCACCACTCACATGCAGACTGCTGAATCGAGTGTGGAATCATGTTTTGTGCTTCAATCCGGAACCCTCAGAAAGTTTTGTGAAATGCCTTCAGCCTACTTCTAAAGAATTTTAAACAAATAAAAAAAGCGAAAACCAATCCCAAAAAAAAGCAAAACCCAATCCAAACCTCAATTAGAAAAAAGCAAAAAAAATGCAAAAAAAGCAAACTCCAATCCAAACCTCAATTAGAAAAAAGCAAAAAAAAGCAAAAAAAAAACAAAACCAAAAGCAAAAAAAACAAACTATTTGTTTTCACATTTTTTTCGCTTTTTTTTTGCTTTGTTTTTGCTTTTTTTGGCTGTGTTTTTGCTTTTTTTTTCCGCCTTTGTTTTCGCATTTTTTTTCGTTTTTTTCTGTCTCAGGTGACCTGATGACCGGGACCTTCGAAAATGTAAGAAACTCGTGGAACAAAGCGAAAAAAAAAGCGGAAAAAAAGCGAAAAAAAAGCGAAAAAAAGCGGGAAAAAAGCGAAAAAAACAGCGAAAAAAAAGCGAAAAAAAAGCGAAAACAAAGCGAAAAAAAAGCGAAAAAAAAGCGAAAAACAGTGAACACAAATAGTTTGCTTTTTTTTTTGCTTTTTGTTGCTTTTTTTTTGCTTTTTTTTTTTTTTTGCTTTTTTCTAATTGAGGTTTGGATTGGAGTTTGCTTTTTTTTTTACATTTTTTTTGCTTTTTTCTAATTGAGGTTTGGATTGGGTTTTGCTTTTTTTTGGGATTGGTTTTCGCTTTTTTTAGTTCAATTTATTTTTCTATCGTTTTATAGAAGTTGCCTGTAAGCCTGGAATATTGATGGAATGATATCTGACACAATTGCAATTGCTTTGTTCGTTGTTTTGATTGATCCAATAAGTCTGCCGCCTGTTGGCCTTCTGCCCCGCTCGCCTAGCCACGACGCCTGGGAACAAAGCACCTGCGTCACTCTGCTCCACGGCTGCTTCTGTGGAAACGAAGGGTTGCCTGGCAAGGTGTTGGGTGAAAATGTCCAGTGACCAGTGTATGCTCGCAAATCGAACGTTGGGGAAGTTCCTCTGAGCCAATATCACTCAGTGTTCACATTAAAATAGATTGTCATCCTTGATCATCCTTGCATAACTGAGGGACACTGGAAGAACCAAGTGTAGCTGCAGCGACGGTACCAGTGGTAGCAGTCGCAGCACAACCAGTGCAACCAGTGGCAGCTGTCCAACCGGTGCAACCGGTGCAATTGGCCCCGGTGCAACCAGTACTGGCTGAACAAGCAGTGGCTGAAGCAGTTCCACCAATTTCACCACTTCCACCTGTGCAAGCAGTACCAGCTGTGCAAATGATCCAGGACAGTTGCATAGCATGGACGTTTTGCACATGTTTGTGTAGCATTCCGGCAAAACCTTCATGGTGTCAATGTGCTTTTGCGCAAAACAGGATGGACAAAGGTCAGAGATTGTGGAAGTTGCATAGCAAATGTGGTTCGGAAGTGAAGATTGTACAACAATACTGGAACCGATCTTAAATTAGTCACATCTCGCAGGCTCCTGAACTTCCAGTTGAAGGGAGTTGCATTGTGCCGAAGGTGGCAGAGGTGGATGCAGCTTTTGTGATCAGCTGCCAGTAGCGGGACGTGCTTTGCGTTTGCCGAGCAGTTGGTTCCTCCTGGGGACCTTGATGTTCCTTCAGATTTTTTTTTTCTAACTCTGGTATGGCAAAACGTGGCAAAGCATCGCAATTCCAGTTCCAGTCCACTTGCACCACTTTCCATCATTTGTTTGGACATCTTCGATTTGGATCGAACACCTTCAGACCTTTGACATCCAGGCGGCTCCACCTGTAGAAAGCAAGCTCGGCCCCGAGGCGAATCATGGTCGGAAAGGAACCACATGGAACCAACCATCTTTGAATGATGAGAGCGTGATTCTACTTGCTGTTCTTGAGAGCGTCCAATGTCTTGCAGGCATGCGGCCAATTCTTACCTGACGATGGCTGCCATTTGCGCAAATGGCTGCAGGTGCTTCTGTTTTGATTAGTACGCGTAACACTTGGAGGAGACAACAAGAAGTGTTGAACGCTTTTCAAGTATGTTTAAATTACAACACACCCTCGTGCACCAGTCAGTTGAGAGGTCAGCGACTTCGAAGTCGTACATAATTGCCTCAGTGATCCATAGTGTATAGAGTGGTTTGGTTTGGCGGCATTGAGGATCACAAAGACTCTGAGCTCAACCGGGCGCAGTCAAGGCCAGAAGGAACCTTAAGTGTACCACAAAAGCCCGAGCCAGAGGGCGCAAATTTTCAAATAGAAGGGGTTTCAGGGTAAAGTGGATGCGTGCTGATTTTGACACTTCATGACCTTCCTGTCATTTCTACTTTCCAGTGGCTTTCCCTTCCTGCCTACCTGGCGCTGCTTTAAGAGCACATGGCATCTTTCCTCTCTCTTTCTCTGCCTTTCCCACGTGTAGCAAAACCAAACCAGTCTTCTTGATGCATGTCAATGTGCGAAACATGCAGTTTCTGTGTGTTTTGTGATGGTGCCTTTGCACATCGTATTCCATCCTTGTTTTGGATGCGCTCACCTGTGTAGCTAGCCTCACTGGCTTCTCGCCCATTGAAGCTGCGTTCAGGTTCCTAAGTCTCTGTTTGATTTTCAAGTTTTGTGCTGCAGAAGTGTCTTTTCGTGTCACAAAAGAAGAGAGGACTGTCTTGAAGTCAAGCACTTTTGCGCATGAGGGCACATGTGTGGAAGGTTTGTCATGTAGAATACGGAACTATCAAAACATACTGCTAAGACTTGGATGGATCAGTAGGTGATAGCAAACAGAACAGAACTCGCCACCTATCGGATGGTCGTATTCCAGGGCCGCGGAATTGACAAATGGAAAGGTGCCGCAGGCAGAGGCAGTGTGCTTGTGTCCACTGGGTAAAAGTCATGTATGTCAGTAAATCATTCTTGAGAAAGGCAAATACTCCAAGAAAGGGGTCAATTTGGACCCCAAAGTGTTGCTGAACAGAGTCTTCTTCGTTGTGTTTGGAGTCCTTCAATTGTGACACAGCTGTCTTGGCCGACTTCCAGGTCAGACAAGCTTCAGAAGATCAGAGCTTTTTGAGGCCAGCTGCTTAGCTCGGACTGAGATGTGAGTTTCAACAGTTTTCAGCAGCTCTCAATTTCAGGACCTCAGGAACTTCATTTCATCATCATTTTGAAGCTACATCATCATACTGAACTAAACCTTATACAACCCAGTTCCTCTCCCAGGATATTGACATGACAGGCAGTGGCTTCAGAGCCGGCGGCAAGCTCCTAATTCCAGTTCTACAGGTGCTGACTGTGGTGTGCGGGGATGTGCGGGGTATTGTGGATTGCAAGTCTGCGTCAATCATGATGGCTTTGAAAGACGTATTCTCCTTGTACCTACCACAACAACTCAGCAAGAAGAGCCAAAGATCTGTCGGTAATGAACCCCAGATAGTCGAATGACTACGGCAGAGTCTTTCGTCCAGTTTTTGTGTGCTGTCTTCGGTGCATGTGTGGCCCTGCCACACCTTTTGACCTCAGGAGGCCAAGTAGCAGCAAGGACACTTCCTGGCTGACAACTGATCGACACTGCCTGGCTGTTTTGCGGTTTTTAGCTCCAGGGATATGCCCTCATCATCGGTTTGTTCTTTTTAGTATTTTGTTCTACTGCTTTTTTTGCAAAAAAACTGTCCGACTGTGGTGTTGTCTCTGTTCCAGCTTGAGACGCGCATGACCTTCACATGACCTTCCAGGATCCCTGCCACCGAGATAGATGTGACGCGAATCACAGAGCAAGATGTCAGGCTACAATCGAACCCAGCAGGTGCAGTGCCAGGTACACTTGGGTTCGATTGTTTGCGCTGTGCCTGCGGCATTCCAAACCCACTGTTTTGCTTGACAGTTTAAAACTGAAACTGGTCAAGACTTGAATCGATTTCTGGCATGTTTTCAAACGCCGTGGCAGTGGCAGGTCATTTGGGCTTTGTAGACATTCACAGCCTGACTCGCTGCAAAGGCTCAGGCTGAGGTATCAGTCAGCTAGGTTTCACACAATTTCAAAAATAGACAAATATAACATGGCGAAGATATACATCAGGATGGCAATCGCAATTTTGTTGGGTCTGGGTTGCACAACGACCGCAAAGACGATCGAGTACTTCCTGGAAGCCATTTACTTTAGGGTCAATCCTGATTGCAGCGGCCCAGTCTGGGTGCAAGGCATCAATGGTATGCTTCCTGGTCCAGAAATTCGCGTCAAGCGTTATGACAGGCTGCAAGTGACTCTGGTGAACCGCTTGCCAACAGAAAAGCTGGCAATTCACTGGCACGGCTTCAGGCAGCAAGGCTCCCAAGAATATGATGGGGCTTTGAGCATCACAATGTGTGGTGTTGAACCTGGGACTTCTTTCACCTACGATTTTATAGTTGATGAGCCACCTGGCAGCTACCACTATGGACATGCTGCTCCAGGCCATGTAGCTGCTCGAGGTCTATTTGGACCTTTGATCGTCGAGGATGATATAGAGCCGAATCGGACCTATGATTCCTATGATAGAGATGTTACGATCAGTTTGTTTGACTGGTGGCCAGAAAGCATGAAACAGTTGGACATGAAACGGCAAGCGTATCTTTCACGGCCCGACACACAATCGCCACAAGGTAACAATGTTGGCCTGAGGGAGTTTCACAATATTCTGATCAACGGGAAAGGGGTCTTCAATGCTTTTGGTCCTGACTTTGGAACCAGCAACTGCACTGACGTGGAAGATTTGTTTCAGGTTGTTGGGACATCTGGTGAGATCCTGCGTTTGCGAGTGATGAATTTGGGTGCTGTTTATGCCCTGCGCTTCCGTATCGATGGTCATCGCATCCAGATCATTCAGGCAGATGGCGTTGATATCGTGCCATACATCACAGATGCTGTGACGATGGGTACTGGAGAAAGGTTCGACGTTTTGGTCTCGATGGACCAGAACCCAGGTAGCTACTGGATTCGTGCTGAAACCCTTGAAGGGAATGGAGTTCGTCATGGACAACTGGCGGTTCTGCGGTACGAAGGAACCCTGGAAAATGTGGAGCCAAGCCTGGGTTTTGCTCGGATTCACAACATTGGGGATACCTCATTGATGACACTCAACTGTGTTGATCAAGAGCCCATTTCTTGGAGGTGCAGACCGCTTACAGATTTGCGCAGACCTTCAAACTCTACATTGAATGAGTCTGAGCTTGGAGCAAGCCACAGCTTCCGACAGATTGAAGTCAATGTGCGAAGCTTTAGAGGCAATAGTCCTGGTGAATTCACTCGAGTTGTGGATGGAGGAAACCCATTTGAGGATCAGTTTCAAGGTAGTTATGCTCAATTTCACAGGCCAAATGTACCCTACTCGTACATTGAAGGCCAAAGTGGAGAGCACCCAAATACCCTTTCCGTGAAGCTGTCCCTCGGAGAAACTGTTCGAATTCTCTTGCAGTGGCAAGACAGAGTTGCTCATTCGTGGCACTTGCACGGGCACAAGTTTGTGGTGCTCGGGGTGTTTGCCCCAAATTACGGCACGGACTGCGACCTCCTCTACTGCCGCTCAGAAGCGGCTCGTTGGCTGAACCGGGATGGATTGCCACAGGACCTCTTGGACCCAGAAGTGGCACCAGTCAAGGACACTGTGTTTGTCCCTGCAGGTGGTTGGGCTGTGATTCAGTTTAAGGCCACCAATCCAGGCTGGTGGCTTTTGGGCAGCCAGATGCATCTTCATGAAGGCATGGGGTTGATCCTCATTGAAGGGGAAGATGCGATGCCAGAACGCCTCAAAAATGACACATACTTTGCAGACAGAGGATTTCCCAGCTGTGATGATGAGCTTGGGCATGTGGAACGCAATGGGAAAGGTTTCACTTGTCAATGCTGGCAAGATCCAGACATGAAAATCAACAACATGCCGCTGAATAGCTACACATGTTCAAACCCCTATCTCTGCGAATCACTGACTGAGCTAGATGGCGCCCCTAGCCAAATCGGAAACCGTGCAAGAGACTACGGGCGCACAGCCAGAGTGGGTCTGGCTATTGTGGAGATAATTCTGGCAATGCTGTTGCCAGTCTTGAAGGAGTTCATGCACAGAAGAGCAAGAGAAGGAGCAGATGCATGGAAAGAGGCGACATCCGAGATCCGTTTGGGTGAAGTCGGAGAACAACTTGGCCAATTCTCCCTCGACCTTGATCAAATTGATCAGAAAAGAACAGCTGGCAGCAAGAACGAGATGCTCAGGTCATATTCCACAGCTATGGCCAATCTGGCGGAAGAACAGACAGCACTGGTGCAATACTCGGTACCCATTTCGTTTGAAGCAACGGTGGTGAACAGGGCCTGTACTTTGCATTTGCATGGCGAGTTGCCTGGTGGTAGCGTGTGCTTTGTGATTGGGAGGTGGGGAAGATTGGGGAAGATGGATTAAAGTGGTATGTCAGCAGTCATGAACGTTTGTTTCCAGCCTGTGGATCTCAGGATTTTATCAACTTTTCAGAACCAATGGTCAATCTCGGCCCTGTTAACCACCAGCTCCTGCAAGCTACCTTAGAATCAGCCAAAGGAGGATATACAATGTCATGTCAAATCCTTGATCCTGAAATACAAGACTAAACAAATGTACATGTAGCTCTCAAACAGCAGTATCTTTGCGCATCGGATGCTTGGGGAATTTGTTGTTTTGCATGACGTATTCCTAAATTTTATATACATTGGAGGTTGTGTTTCGTTTTTGGCAAAATAAGATCTTCCCCCTCCCTCTTTCTCTTTCTCTCTTTTGCTTGTGCACAGGAACTTCAAGCTACCCGTCTCTCGAGAATCCCAAGCTTTTCCAACAGACACCCTAGAGCCAAAGCTTTCTCTCAAGAAGTCTTCTTGAGCGAAGACAGTTCCTATCATTGCAATGCATATAGTAAATCCATATAAATCCATGTAATCCTGACATCTGATGTGGTCACAACAATGTAAATGTATATAATGTGCATATAATGCATATCTATTGTTGAATATTGTTGAACCCTGGGATGTGCTGCAGACTGTATTCTTGACATGTACATCCTGGCTCATGGGCAGCAAAAAAGTGTTCGCAAGCTTTGCAGAACCCGTCTTGGAACTTTCCCCTTGCTACAAAGCTTCCCTGTTACCGTAAATCTCCTAAACTATATGGGACTCTTACAATGCAAACACGCTCGGAAACGAACAGTGCATCCAACAGTGGTACTCTTATTCTGATGTTCTCATGTCTTGGACTTTGCCTAGCACCCCACTTCCGCGGATCTTTCAAAGCTACACCAAGCACTGAATCTGCTAGCCTGCGAGCCATAATTTCAGCTTTTTGAACTATAGCCTGAACTTTCAAATCTCCCGGACTTTTTTTTGGATTTTGGGGAAACCATTTTCATTTATTCACAACATGCGAAAAAATGTAGTGCTTGCACATACATGGACTTGGTGACTGTTGAATCCTCGGAGGCAGGAAGAGACAAATGCGTGGCTGTCGTTCTTTGGTGGCCGGAAGCACCACAATCCTCATCTAACCATTGAGGGTAACCTGGTGTTCAATGGTGTTCCCGCCAGCAAGTGGAGAGCAGATGAGTTGCATCAGCTGAGATGCTTTGTTCAATTGCGAGATGCAGATGTGTGGGGGACGCTGACTGCGTTTCAGGTGCTGGCAACCTCTTTCAATCTTTTGGAGAGCAGCTACGTATTTCCAGAACAACAGCTATTTCAACAAGTTGCCCTAGTGAAATTGTTTCAGCTTGAGGAATACGTTGCCCGGCCCATGGCAGATCTCAGCGACGAGATCCGTTTAAGAATTCAAATTGTGAAGCAGTGCATGTATTCTCGAGGATTGCTGGTCTTAAAAAATCCACTTGCAAATCTGGATCAAAGAGCTGGCAAAGAACTTCTTCGATTGCTATCTTTCTTGGCAGGCTCAACTGGAATGACTGTGATCCTGTCTGGCCTCTCATCCTTCAGTGGCACCGAGGGCTACCCAGCAAGTCACATTCTTTGGGTTCCAGAAGGTATGCCCCCGATCTTTGGCAAACTTTCCACCATTGTGGACTATTGTCGGGATGCTGATGTGCCAGTGCCTATGACAACGAATGCAGTAGCCTGGTGTGCGGACCTTTTGTTAAAGGGAGGCATCAAGTTTTGGCCACGGTCGGCATGCAACAAATCAGACCGCAGAGGTGGCATACATGCGTTGGATGCGTTGAAGCATGCAGATGTTCAACTTCGAAGCCGGAAAAACTGTTTCATGCAATGTTTGGTGCTGTTCCAGAGTGAACTTGCATATGCATTTGAGGAGTCAGTCACAATTTACAAGTTCTTGGAGACTTTTGGAGTTGCGCTTTGCGCAGGTTTAGTTTGGTTCGGAAAGTTTTCTGAAAACACTGAGACCGCCCTGGGTGAAAGTGTTGCTTTCCTTTTCTTCACAACAAATTTGTTCACAATAGCACCGGTTTTTCAAGCATTGGCTGCAAGCCCGATCATGTTGAAGAGGGTTACTGATGACTTTCTCAATGGCTTCTGCAACATCTATGCTTTTGTTCTTGCGAATGTGATGGCAAACCTCATTGCTCGAGCAACCTGGTGTGCCGTTTGGCAAAGTTTGGCCTTTGCCTTTGCAGACGTGGGAGATTCTTGGCTCACGATCTTCCAGATGCATATAGTCATAATGCTCAACTTCCTCGTCATGCATGCAGTGGGCATGATCTTGGGTCTGATCATTCCGAATGCACTGCTGAACACTGTAGTCGGAAACATGTTTGCCCAGATTTGCCTGCTGAGCAATGGCTTCTACACAAAGCTTCCATCCTGGTTGAGGTTTGTGACTGTGGTTTCAGTGCCTCGATATACATTTCGTGCGTTGCTCAAACTGGAGTACAGGTGGTATCACACCTTTACAGTCCATCCAAACCGTGGTGTGCAGCAGTTTGGGTACCCGACAAAATATATCCCAGCTGAGCTGACACTGATGTTTCAGACCATGTTCGAAAGAGAGATGGAAGTGATGCAATCTCCGGTGGAGACATCCGTGTGGATTGAGATTGGCACTTTGGCAGGCATTTGGGCCTTCCTGATTTTTGTTTTTGCTGCCAGCTTGCATCAAAGCCTCTCCATTCAAGAATGCCAGTATCACGATGCAGACATGGAAGCGCAAGTTACTGGAGTTGCTCGCATTAAAAACCTACTAAAGGGATTTTCTGGCGATTCTGGGCAAAACAGAGTCAGCACGACCAGTACACCTGAAGACGAAAGTCCACATAGTCCGCGCGAGGTCAGCATTCCAGTGGAAAAACCATCAGAATTGGCTGAAGACACCTTCAGGGAGATCGGAGAAGAAACACACATTTGCATTCACAAAAACGAAGAACGTGGCCCTGAGAAAATCACGACTCGAATTTCTTTGTAAAGGGTTTCATATGGTTTCATGATTTTCATGATTTTCATGGTGACCATGGTGGCCAACAGCTTCTCAAAGAGAGCTCCACCATGCGAATCGAAAGAATCAGGGCCGAAGGCAGAGAAAAGAGCCTTCTGGGCACGCGGCTTCGTGGCCCGACTGGCTTCATGGGTTCAAGGATCATGGTGAGGCACCACTGCAATTTAGGCAGAAGAGAATTGATACCGGAGCTTCAAGATGAACACATTATACAACATTTACATATCTATAGTTTATATGTTTCTATATGTTTATCGAAGGAAGTTTAGAAGCCAAACTTCCGCCAATATGGACAGATGAAAAGCAGAGACGGATTGTGCACGTTGTCAAAATTTGTAGCATTTCCAAAAACGATGGCAGGCGTGGGACATTTGAAGAGGACCTGCAAAGATGCATTTTCCGTGGCAGTCGCAGTATAAGAGACATGTTCATCAGAGCTGCTGGGAGGTCCGGGCGCTGATTTCCTGAGAGGGGTTGCATGTTGGAGCATCAGATCTTCAGGTTTGCTGAGATGATTTTGCGTGACAGGTGCAGCACTTCGTATGACCTGGCATCACTTTTTCGTGCCAGGCGCAGTAGTTTAGACAGATGGAGTGGAAGAATCGCAAAACGCATTGGTACGAGGCCGTCAGCTCTGCACTCAACTTCCCGTTTTTGAAGGACGTCTCGCAGAATTGCTTCGTTTTTGACGTTGTCAAATTAAAAAAATGAGGACGTCTCGCAGAATTGCTTCGTTTTTGACGTTGTCAAGTTCAAAAATTGAGGAAGTCTCGCAGAATTGCTTCGTTTTTGATGTTGTCAAGTTCAAAGATTGAGGAAGTCTCGCATAATTGCTTCGTTTTGGATGTTGCCAAGTTCAAAAATTGAGGCAGTCTCGCAGAATTGCTGCGTTTTCAAGCTTACAGTTAGACAGACAGACAGACAGGCAGACAAACAGATAGCTAGATAGATAGATAGATAGACAGATAGACAGATAGACAGATAGACAGATAGACAGATAGACAGATAGACAGATAGACAGATAGACAGATAGACAGACAGACAGACAGATAGATAGATAGATAGATAGGCACTTACAACTACAACTACAACTACCACTACACTACACTACATTACACTACTGCTACAACTCCAAATACACTACGCTACATTACACTACACTACACAAATTACATCCAATTACGCTACACTACACCAATTGCACGAACAACAACAACAACAACAAAAACAACTACAACAACTACAATTACAACTGCACTACACTACACTACACTAATTACACTGCAGCACACTACAACTACAAATACAACTGCAACTACAACCGCACTACATTACACAACGCTACACTACACTGATTACATTGAATTAGGCTACAACTACAACTGCAGCTGCAACTGCAACTACAACTACCACTACATTACACTACACTACACTAATTACACTGCACTACACTACAACTACAGCTACACTACCTTACACTAGACTACACCACACTATACCACACTACACTGCACAACACTACACGACATTACACTGCACTGCGCTACACTAATTACACCACACCACGACTACAACTGAAACTGTGCTTGCGACTACACTAACTGCAACAACGCTACACTACATCCAGCAGTTGTGGTAAGGTGACCACTGCAACCATTGCAACCACTCCAAAAAACACAACTCCAACCACCTGTCGGTCCACCAGTGGATTCGCTCTGCCATCCGTGATTCCCAACAACCAACCTCTCCTATAGGTTTCCTATTTGTGAAACTTCCGCCACCGCCTTGTGTGGCACTACTGTATTATCTAATCATCATGCAACCTTGAAGATTACTGAAGCTCTGCACACGTCAAAAATGCTCCTTTGAGCACCTGCGAGTGCAAAGGTATCAGGCCATGACCATCAACATCCAAAAAAATGTGAATATACAATTTATATATATATATGTATATATATATGTATATATATATGTATATATATATACATATATATATATAGATATTCGCATACATATAATACTGCATGTAAAAATCACCATCACAATAAACATATGTATGATGATAATCACCAGAAGCATCACAATCACCATCATTGCACCATATTGCTCTCTACTCGGATCCATCTAATTTTATGTGATAGATGGTGAATAGGTTTGTCTTCTTGTTATACGGAATGCTAGTGCTTGAAGAACTGGTGCCCTTGCGTAGTACCTCTACTGTGACTGGAGCCTATGTGAAGCAATGAAGCATCTCTGACAGGTGATTGGTCGAGATACACAGATGATCCGGCGTCGACCAGGTCTTGGGATCTCAGAATGAAGGTCATAATGGTCATGGTAAGGTGATGGTCCAGTGGTAAGATCAGGATAAGATCATGATGTTTCTCCGAAAGATAGTCCCTGCCAGGCTTCAATCTGCACCTGCACAAGATGTCAGGCAAGCCAAGAGAGAGACAAGGGGAGCTTAAATATTGCCAGTATGGCGTAGCCTGTGCCTTCAGTTCCACTGGTACAGTACGAATTTACTTTTCAGGAGTATGAATGAGACTTTTGTATTCAAAGCACATATCCAAGCATCAGTCGATCACTTTTGCCCTTCCGATTGTCTAGATTGCCAGGCAAGCGCAAATGCATCAGTCGAACTCTCTGGTTCAGGACTTCAGGCTCAGAGCTTCAGAGCTCGGTAGAACAAAATCATTGCTACATCAGAGCTATCAGAGCTTGTAGCTGTAGCTCTTTATCTTTAGATTATTTGAAGATGGGAATCTCAGTTTTTTTTCTGTACCACTTCCAAGCAAGATACAATCCAGTTACCAGGAAAAGACAGGCCCTCCTGCTGGCAAACAAGATGTGTTAACTTTCCTGCTGTTGTTTGGAAGGTCAGGAGGTCGAGGAGGTACACGGTAGATGCACTGAATGCTCACGATACCCTAGAAGGCCCTAGAAGCAATAGAGAGCGCAGCTGGCTCACAATATTTGACTCGAGCCAGGCACAGCTCTTACGCTCCTTTCTCAACCCAAGGAGACTTGAGGCTTTGGGAAACTCATCGGCCGTTCATTCATTGCTGGTTGAGTGTCCTTCTTGGGGTGCATCTGATTTCGCCTACAGGCAACCTGGGAACATGTTGGGTAATGCTCGCTCCAAATCATTTGGAGGCACGGCAAGTCCTACTTTGAATCAAGATAGGAACAAATGCTTTCAGTATCTTCCAGATTCATGAACATGCATGAGCATGCATGATTTTGTTTCTGCTGAAATGGTCCTTTCGTCCCTTTATCTTGGCTGCATCCTTCAACTCCGATCAGCGTCTGGAGGCGTGGAACGGCGACAAACAATGGTGCCAAAGCTGTAACCTGGCAGCAATTCACCTCAATGCTCCGAATGTTTCAGATGTTTCAGCCCTTGTTTGTTCATGGCATCCTGTGGCTTCGCTTTGTTCGGCTCAGGGAATCCAGACATGCAGACTTGAGTCCAGGCCGTGGGCCAGGCGTGAAACACGATTTCATGCTCGGATTTTTCTGAAATCCCAAGAGTCACAGGGAGGGGAATTCACTGTACAAATCTGTACAAACTTTGCCTGTCATCCTCTTTGTAGGCGATGGCATTCGCATCGTGACAGCCATGACTCCCAATGGTTCCTTGGACAACGAAACGATAGACCCTTTGCAACTCTAGGGTACACCCTAGACCTCTGAACCAGTTTTCTACAATTGTCCGTTAATTTGCTGAATTGGCCTTTGCGTCTTTCCTCATCTTTGCAAGATGTTTACAATATTTTTGCCACATTGGCATTGAGGCCATGGTCTGGTGGCCCCACTACCCGCTCACTTGAGCCATGGAGGCAGGGGTAGCCAGGGGCAGCAGAACAGCAGGACCAGCGTTCAGAGCAGCGTTCCATGCTGAGGCTTTTGCGGGGGCACGCCTGTGTCCAGGCAGGGTCTAGACCCAGCCGCCATGGGAAATGCCTGAGGCCGAGATCGCCTGAGTATGTCTTGGTGACCATTGGTGATTGTTTAAATATGTTTAAATGACTCGAACCAACTTGAAATTAATCTGAAGCGAGCTGACCGAGGCGTTGACAACAATCAACAGCCTGCCCCAACCGCATAGCTGGGCACATGGTTGCTCGACTGCAGCCACCCTTCTACACCTGTTTGCTTTCTCTAGGGGAAAACGATGGAACACATGGTCGTCACCAAGTGTTTAAGTCGAGGCTCCTCATGCTACGCATGTTGCGAGCAGCCAGTGTCTGTAGACATGTGGATTTTAAATGATTTGTATATAAATACAACTGTAAGTAAGATATCAGAATAAGCAGGTAGACATAAGATGACAAAAGTATCTCTGCGATCTTCGCTGAGGTCAACAGCTTCAGACGGACGCTTTTCAGACACACGGACTCAACCAGCAGGCGCAGAATCTGAGTCTCTCCGCGTGGTTCTGAACCTTCCAGCGTTTCCATGTAATTCGGGGGAGGCTGCCTGAGTCAGTGCTTGTTTCCTCTGGTTCGATAGGGAGGCATTGTATGAAAGTGTCATAAAGTGCCTTATCGGCAAAAAGTGGAAGAAGCCTTTGCAGTGACAATGCGTAATTCAAGTAGACACTGTTTAAGTTTGTAGTGGGGATTTATCAAGCATTTGAAGGACCAAGGGTCCATGCGTATTCGTAATTCGCAGGCGTTGTTCGGACAGCCTTCCATTGTGGCATCGTCCTTCTTCGGTCCAATCAACGACAATCTCTTCGGTGCTGGCGGCTTGACTACAATAATGCAGCTCTGGCATGGGTATTTTTGAACATCCCGAGGTTGCAAAGAGGAATAGACCATGGTGAAGTTTGGGTTTCCATTTTTAAGTTCAACCCTCTGCGACCAAACTGCGAACTCGTAGTTGCCCAGTATTACAGACATAATTGTTTCTCGCTTTTCAATGCAGAGACATTACGTATTGGCTCGCAAGTGTTGCAGCATCGCTGGCGTTCGATCAATGCTTGATGGACACGTGAACCTCACGCAGTGGCTGCTGTCACAACGCTTGAGATGCGATCGTGCTGCAGCCTTTGACGGGCTTTGCCCTTTCCGGGCAACACTTGGCCCAGCGCAAAGGCGCTGGTATGCACAGCCAAAGATGCCAGTTTCTCCAGCTCGATGGGCGTTGCTGAGTTTTTCGGATCGCATGTTAGCAAAACTCACAAGGCCAAGCCTGCAAGACTTTGCAGCAATGCACCCTGAGTATGACTTGATGTTTGAAGAGGAGCACCTGTTAGACATTCGAGACTTCCACCCAGCCTGGAACAAATTGGCTTACGCCCGACGCATGCTGATCCTGGGTAGCTATGAAGCTGTTGTATGTTTTGATGACGATATTCTAATAACCGATCCTGTTCAAGACCCCATTGGCAAAGCCATTAGAGAGCACTTTACCTCGCCAGAGAAGTTAATCATAGCATCCCTGGACGAGCAAGTCAGCGCAAGAACCCCCTTCAATACCGGAGTTCTCATTCTGAAGTCGTCGCCAGAGACGCTGATGTTGCTCGATGAGATTTTACAAATAGGACGACAGCTGAGACGGGTCAACGGCCACAGCTGGCTGCCCCGACTCACTGGGCTCTGGGACCAGGATGCTTTTGCTGACTACATCAACTTCAGAGGGAAAGATCGCTTTGTGCTTTTACCTCATGGTGAGTTGCAAACATTTGTTCGCCGTGGCCAACCTTGGCCCTCACTCGACTCTATTTTTGCTCTGCATTTCACAGGACTCTCAGATCTGGAACCTCTACAGAGGGTTGAGTTGGTCAGAGATATCATTCTGCAATTGCAGGCTACAAGTGACTCCAGAGAAATGCGGGGGAGTGCAGAAAACAGCTGCTCCAGCGAAACACGATGGCACCCCCACCACCCAAAACTGAACCAGTCGCTCTTCCACTTTGACTTAGCATGGCTTTCAATCTGAGGTTCATCTGCGTTGGGATCGACTCGCCCATTTAGCCGCTTCCCTTCAGCAGGACCATGGGCAACTTGTTACATACTGTAAGTCTCTCTAACTGTGGCTCAAGCATGAGCATCTTGAAAACCTTAGGCAGATGGCATGTCCGTATGTTCTGTCTCGGTGACGTGAAGATGTGGTACCGTTTGCAATTTGAGCGAAGGACTGCATGGAGGAACAAAACACACAGCGAGAATCCGGCAGGACCTGCTTCTGGCGAAAGACTCTTCAAGCCAGCGGCTGGACCACTGTCTGCATTCCAAGAGGAGGTGCCAAGAAATGCCTTGTCAGTCTTTCATTTGATGCATGTAGAATCAAATGATTCGACTCCAATGCTTCTTGCGACAAAAGACGATCTCAACGTGTGAGTCGCAAAGCACTTCTCCGATGATCTCCGATGTACTTCACCAGGAACCGCGTCAATTTGAGCCACCGCCGCCACCGCGCAGTGCTCCCTCGCTGCAGCACCTTGGACAAACCAAATGCAGGGCGGTTTAAAACCTGGAAACAGCTGATCAGCCACCCCCATCCAAGGTACAATGACGAACCACCCCGACAAGAGCCTGCAATGCCGGCATGGGACGAACCACGACAAGGCATGATTGATCATTCCAATGATATGAGTTGAATCGTGCAGATTCAAGTGATGTATTTGATTCCGTTACAGCTCTAGCCACTTCATTCTTCCGATCTTCATCTTTGCTAGGTTTCGGCGTCACGCAGAACGTTAACCCGTCTGTTCCAGGTTTCAGAAGTCAAGGTTCGACTCTGGGATGTCTGTTTTTTGGAGTCCTCTGAGCCACCCAACCTTTTCCTCTGAAACCTCATTGATTTCCCGTGACACTTCAGGTCGCAAGTCTGAACTCAAGGTCAGAATGTCAGACAGCCATTGGGAGAGCCTCCGCTTCTCCCCTGGCAATTTGACTGCAATTGTTTCAAGATTGTCAGATTTGAACATGTTTGACATTTCTGACGACACTCCAGGTGCAAGAGATTCTGGGTAAACGCCTTTTCTCTAAGACCTTTTCCAAGGTGATGATTTGGAGTTGCACGGGCAGCAATTTGTATCCCGCCACTTGGATCTTAGATAGAGCTTTATTGAATTAGGCACAAAGACAATGTGTGGGTCAATCAAGAATTCCCAAACTTGTGTAGATGAACATTCCAATGTCTATCCTGTTCACATTTGGAAGATCCACTCAAACGATTGTCTTGACCTACAGCCACGGTCAGAAAGAAAAAGAAAAAGACGCGTGGAGAAACATGGGGGACATCTGGGGTTGATCGGTTTTCATTGAGCTGGGAAACTAAACAATCGCATCCCGACCCGTGCTGGGCCATGCTGGGCCATGCTGGGTGTACTTTGCGTTCGATTGTAAGGCTGTGGCCTCAAGAGTGCTTTTCTGCCTGGCGTCGTGGCGAGACTCAAGCAGATGGCTGCTATCCAGCAAGACTATGTCACTTGATGAAAAACAATGCGCCGCCTCACAAGATTTGACGCCTCATAGGGGTGTGGAAGAATGTGGATTTTCACTGGCAGACAGAAAACTATTCTGAAGGAAAATAATTGCATTGGAAAAGCCAGGCATTCATCGCCGATAATCACTGTAGCTTCTCGGAGTCCAAAAATTCTTGCAGACATCTACGTACGATGAAGGGTGAATTGTGAAGCCCTGAAAAATCCTGGTTGCGTGCAATTCCCGCGATAGGCATCAGTAGTGGGAGGGCCGCACAAGTATAGCTGATGTCGATCCTGGTGGCATTGTTTTGATTTCTTCCTTGTGAAACATTTTTGCTTTCAAGGAGCAGACTCGGGATAATCCTTGGTGCTGAGGCATGTGTGGATATTGTGGACCTGATTTGAGCGGCCAGCTGGAAACATATTTCTGCTGAGCAAACGAGCTCGCAGTTGGAAACCGGGGGTTGCCAGACAATGACAATGCAGGGCCGCATGACACGGTGTTTCCCATGCAGTTCGCCAGACTGTTGACTTAGTCAGGCCAATGGTAGAGTCAAAACAAGAATGCACCAGATGCATTCAGAAAGAAATAAGCGATTCCAAGGACGAAAGAGAGAGAAAGCCACGCTTTGCTTCTCCTACAGCTTGTCCTTCGTCACTGTGACTGTGACCAGTATTTTACATAATCATATCGAATCATATCATACATCCTCCAATGCCCGCACCCTCTTCTAAGAAGTCAACTCTTGGGACAGTCCTTGCTCCTTGTGAAAATGATGGCTTGTGCTCTGATTCCTATGTTAATTCCTATGTATCATCTAGGGCAGTGCCCTGAATCAGAGACCTTGGAACTGCCTCAACAAAGCCGTAAACCAGCGCTGATCTTGAATACTTGGCAGCCCTCTTGGGACGCTGAAACTCTTTATTGTAATTCTGAAAGCGAATTAGAATCTTAGCACTGCCAAGGCCAAGCTTGGTTGCTGGATTTTTAGCCAAATAATAGCAGGGGAAAGCCTTTAAAGCAAGGCGACATGAAGATGGACCAGAGATGACCAGAGTGTCAAAAGCAGAATCCTTGCCCCTTGATTTGGATTCAACTGCTACACAAATAAATCAAGAACTCAAGCTCCAAATTGGCCGCAACTTTGGAAGCATTGATTTCAGGTATGCAAGACCGCTGATGGAGAAATTGGCGGGGAGCCCAACGGTACTTGCGACACATTCAGGGGCAGACTACTGATGACTCTCGGAATTCACCTTTTGGTTGAAATATGTTGAAATGGATTTTCATCTGTTTCGCTCTGGCTAAATCTGCATCCCCCAATTCTTTCAACGCTGTTTCCCAGGGTCCTTGCTTCCCTAACCCTTCCTGATTGCTTCATAACCTGTCGCGACCTTTCATAAGGTCATGAAACTGAACACCTCTCAGCACAGAGGTGTAGGGCGGCCCAGGAGACAAACCAGTGCATGAAACCTGGCGCTGCTTTCAAACCTTTCATGCAGTTGCCTTCCAGGCACAGATTGGCTCTTTAAGGTTCTGTCGTGTTGTGCAGACAGACGTGACGCATGTCGAATAGTGTTGACCAAACTTACGTGCGACACATCTCCAATGGATTCCAATAGCATAGTAGTGGGCGCGCAACAGATATAAAATGTACAATACACACACACACATACACACACATCCAGCACACTTGCAGATCCCGGGAGTTAGAACCCCTTTATTCTTTTGGCCTGTTCTATTAGGAACAATGGTTGTTGTTGACCCTTCATTGTTTCAATGCTTTGCAATACAACCACAGTCCCATACCACTTTGTAGAAGAAGAAGAAGGAACTTGAGAGCAGTCCCATTTGATTCAAACACACACACAGAGTGGACATTCGACGAAGCAATCCTAAGCAGAGGGAACAAGGTGGGCAAAGCAAAAAATACTTATCCAGAAGAGCCTTGAGCTTCCAGTGGGAATCATGAGCAGCAGTTATGGCGCATCCAACACCTCCCGGAGAAGATAGGGGTTTTTACTGACGGAGACGAGCATCGTTTTCATTTTTTGAGAAATCAGGTGAGGGAGGAGGCCATCACTTCAATTGCTGTGATCGCCGGTGTCATGGAGAAGGCCGGGAGAGGCCAAGCACTCCAGTCGTACCAACAGATGACAGATGATGGGCACAGAAAAATCATGAAACAAGATCTGGGTAACGAAGCTCCGGGGAATGTGCTATTTGCATCTACTACTTGCAGGATTTCGTGCAGTACTATGACAGCATCATGCCTATGCTGAAGCAATTTGTGATGACCGCAACAAGCAAGAAGGTGCGGGATGCACTGATGGCCAAGTATTCAGTTGCAGGGGCCTGACATGGAAACGAAACGTCAAGATACGCATGTAGCCCAGCGACCGAGGACCCTTGAGGTATCAGTGACATAATGTGGCAAATTGGGGATGTATTCATTTCTGCTTGAACGGATTCACCGATTCCTGGTCGGGTTTCAATGGTTTCTGATTATTGTATATAACAAAGAGATTGTGCAAGTTCGCACACCAAGTGCCTCGGTTTCATTGCAGGAAAACCGCTTGCGCGGCAAGTCCTTTGAATGCATGTCTTTGTCGGGCACCAAGACAATGGCGCAGCTTCACACTTTCAGCTGACTGATATTTCTTCTGCAGCTTTCTAAAGTCCTTTCATGTACATCAAGATCCTTGGTATGGCAGATTGACTTGCCGCTCCAGTTTGCTATCTCAGACAAAAAGCGAACCTGTCGATAAGGAATATACTTTGAAACCAACCAACTCCCAAACACGTTCAGAGGTATCGGTATTGTCTTAAGAGCCTCAGCGACCACAGCAATGCCTCAGGGGGTTCAATGTATTGTCATACCTAAGACCTAATCCTGGCATTTAAATTCACTTGTCTCATGATCCTGGTGTAAAGAAAGGACCCGTCCATCATTTGCGAATTTCCAGGTTGGGCATTGCAGTCGGAAAGGCAGCTTGGGGACAAGAGCCGAACCCATGTTTTGCAATCAATTCAATGGTGCACTTGGGACAACTACTTCTGCAAAGACACCTCTCTGTGTGTGAGCACATGGTGAAGCGCTGACCAATCACTTTGCATCATATTTTGATTGCTACCATCACATTACCCTGTGGGGTTCTTGTGTCTTGTGCTTGATCCCGTCCTCGCCCTCCTCGTCCTCCTCCGGCCATCCTCCTCCCACCAACTTTCTTCTATCAACTAACCTCTATCAACTTAC